GTCTGGAGTGAGAAAGAGAGGTCCGTTAAAATCTCCTTTTTGCAGCGGAGGCGAGTGTAACGCATCATGGATTTGTAGGGGCAGAGAGATGTGTCCGAGCGAGCTATTACTATATTGCAGGCTCCTTTGATTTTTGAATGTTTGAGACGGAGGTTGAAGTGGTCAGGGGACATTATGTTGGGTGAAAAAGAGCGACCTTTGTGTAATGCTTCCACTACGGCGAGATTATCACACATGACAGAGATCCTCTTTCTCTGCCACGTGTGATTCCACAGCGCGCAGCCACGACCACTGGGAATATCTCGTGTAGGGCAGAGGAGATGCTCCGGTGGAAAGTAGCGGCCACGCTCGGCAACCCAATGGTCCTGGAAGAATCCCCCAAAACCCACGGAAGGGGCAGCGTCCGTGTAGAAGCGGAGACCTGTAGGGGCAGAGACATATCGGAGAGGGCCATTGATGTTGCAGGCGCCCTTACGCTTAGAATCTTGGGTTGGAGAGTAGATAATCAGGATAGTAGGATGGTCGGGAAAGCCGTGTCTCGGACCGCATGAAGGTTGAGTGAGCAGTGGTGAAACGCTTACGCAGAGAAGCCATAGAAGGAGAGCAGGAAGATGCTGCGAGGAGGGCGGACATGTACTTGGGAGATGAGCCGGAGTTCAGCGCCGCTGCAGGATGGGCAGCATGATGGGGAGCCTGCGATCAGAAGAGTGAAGAATACAGGTATGGATGCCTTTGATTAGGAGTCCGATTGACGGCTCAGCGCAGCTACTTGGCCAGCTGCATCTGATAGAATCAGAAGATTAAGTAGAGAGATGAAGCACGACCGCCGAAGCGACCCTGGGAGCATAGGTGCGAGTCCGGCGCAGCGCGGCATACTCAGCCGGGCTGCATCCATTAGAAGCAGGATAAGCTTCTGAGAGAGTGGGTTGCAGCAGTAGCAGTAGCAGCAGCGGCAGCAGCAGCGTCCTTAGAAAATAACAGCAATAGTCCTGTATCAAGCCGCGGCAGCCGCAGTAGCAGCAGCAGCAGCAGCAGCAGCAGCAGCGTCCTTAGAAAATAACAGTAATAATTCTGTATCAAAGCCACAGCAGTAGAATGTTGTTGTAGCTGTTCAGTGTTTCAGTAAAAGAGATGCAAGTGAAGAGAGATGGCAAAGTAAATGAAGCAGCAGCAGCAGTAGCAGCAGCAGCAGCTGCAGCATCCGTAGATAATAACAGCAATAATCCTGTATCAAAGCCAGAGCAGTAGAATATTGTTGTAGCTGTTTAGTGTTTCAGTAAAAGAGATGCGAAGTGAAGAGGGATGTCAAAGTACATGAAGCAGCAGCAGCAGTAGTAGCAGCAGTAGCCGTATGAAGCAGCAGCAGTAGCAGTATGAAGCAGCAGCAGCAGTACCAGTATGAAGCAGCAGCAGCTGCAGCATCCGTAGATAATAACAGCAATAATCCTGTATCAAAGCCAGAGCAGTAGAATATTGTTGTAGCTGTTTAGTGTTTCAGTAAAAGAGATGCGAAGTGAAGAGAGATGTCAAAGTACATGAAGCAGCAGCGGCAGCAGTAGCAGCAGCAGTAACGGTAGCAGTATGATGCAGCAGAAGCAGCATTAGCAGGAGCAGCAGTAGCAGTAGGAAGCAGCAGCAGTAGCAGCAGTAGCAGTATGAAGCAGCAGCAGCAGCAGCGGTTGCAGTATCCGTAGATAATAACAGCAATAATCCTGTATCAAAGCCACCGCAGTAGAATATAGTTGAAGCTGTTTAGTGTTTCAGTAAAAGAGATGCGCAGTGAAGAGAGGTGTCAAAGTAAAGAAGCAGCAGCAGCACGGCAGCAGTAGCAGTATGAAGCAGCAGCGGCAGCAATAGCAGCATTAGCGGCAGCAGTAGCAGCAGTAGCGGTAGCAGTATGACGCAGCAGAAGCAGCATTAGCAGGAGCAGTAGCAGCACAATGCGATTCATACGAACAACAGACGTGTCACGCCAGCGTGCGCCGCTTGTCTCCGTGAGCCAGGTTACGTACGTGTCTGAAAGAGCCGAGCCGTAGAGACAGGTGCAGCCTGGGAGCCCGCGGAGCGGCAGCGGCAGGAACAGCAGCAGCGGCACATGTAGTAGTAGGAGCAGCAGGAGCAGGCAGCAGGGACAGGCAGCAGCAGGAGCGGCAGCAGGAACAGGCAGCAGCGGGATCAGGCATCAGTAGGAACGGCAGCAGGGACCGCAGCAGCGGCGGTCAGAGAACCATGCCCACGGTTGTTAAAGAGCCTGAGAAAAAAATCAACCCGAAACATTCCCATGCGAAAAACAGATGTCCCCTGGAGCCATCTGCTGCTTTGGTTATGGCAGATACGCATGAACCATCACTTTTCCATGCGTTCATAGCTCCAACTACACTTCAAACCCATTGCAGATTCACATTGGGCCCCTTTTCTTTCCGCTGCACTTTCGAAATGCAACAACTGCAGTTTAGTTACCCAATTTAATACTAGTGACCTAGCTATTTAAATGCATGGCCCCTCCTTCCTCCTGCAGATAGACGAATTTAAATACATTCATTTAACAATAGTGACTTGCGAGTAATGAGATTAATGCTGTAAAGATGGCGCCGTGGCAAGAGCTCTGTGTGTGCCGTCTGGAGCACGATGGGGTAGTCTTTGCACATTTTTTCCAACGTGGTTTTACTGCAAGTGGCAGAAGATGAATCTGAATTAATGCACATTGCTCCTCTTATATCCCTCAGACATTGGAGATTGATGCCATTTAAGATGCATTGTCCCTCAGTTAGCTCAAACACGTGTAAAACGGAGCCTGCAGACCAAGCACGGGCGAAAACTGACGCCTGCAGTCAAGTGCGTAGGGCAAAAACCAGCCGCCTGCAGCCCAGACTCAGGGATTAATCCGTCCGCGGTCGGCACACTCACTGTACTCACATGCCAGGAGACTTGGGAAAGCAACGGGACAACGCGGCACCGCCAATCGAGGCAGGGACACGCACGGCACCGCCAGACCGTCTGCGCGCGGCAGCAGACCACGAGGAACGAGCAGCACAGAACCGCGGAGGGGCCCCGCGGAGCAGCCCGCAGAAGAGCCCGCAGAGGAGGAGAGCAGTGGGGATATGCGAACCACAGCAGGTGCAGGGACGTGGAGGAGGAGCAGACCACGAGCAGCCAGACTGAGGACAGCCGGGCCACGCGCACGAGCAACACGTGAGCAGAAGCGACCCCTCCAGAACAACGCATGCATTTGCGAACAGGTGCGTTAGCGACATGCACCTTGCAGGCTTCAGAAGTTTGCAGACTTCAGAAGATCGGGAAGTGGGCGTCTCCGGCTTTTAACTTGCTGTCCTGGTGGTTATTGGTGGATTAGATGTGGGCGTTTTGCTGGTGTAATGAGTAGAGGATGAGCAGGCTTGTAGATCTGGCAGCAGTGGCCGGGTCTACCACAGTGAACTTTCGCGAAGAGCTTCATATTTCTGACCAATATATCAATAATCGTCATATCGTGATAAAATCGTTATTGTAATCTTTATCGTGAGCTTTGTATCGTGTATCGTATCGTATCGTGAGGTACCCTTAGGTTCCCACCCCTGTCCGCTAATCTCTCAGGCTCGTGAAGTCAGTTGATTCACTGTTTTGCTAAAGCCAAATTCAAGCAGGTCGGAGCATGAGTGGGGGCATCATGGCTCCTTGAAGTTACTAACAAACTTTTGGCACAAACTTAATTTTGATATATTTTTTCATTTAGACTGTTATTGTTGCTGTTTGAATAAATAAAAACATCTTAGATCATTGTTGTGTTTTTTTCTGCATTAACAAAAATGCTCCTCGCTTTAGATTAAGGTACTGCAAAATAGTGTAATAAGCAGTTTATTAACGCATATTTTTAGTGGCCTATTACCACTATTGCCTATTAATAAGCAGCGTATTAATATCTTTATAGGCATATTGTTAGTGGCCTATTAACATGGTATCGATAATAGTTTAATAAGCAGCTTATTCATATATTTATAAACATATTCCTCCTTTAATAATTATCTTACTAATTACTTATTAAATGCTTAAAAGCATATAACTAGAACAACATCATTTAGAGAATAGTGAAATGAGCAGCTTATTAATATGTTTATAAGTACATATAAGCAATAAATAAGCATGTTGCTAATGTCTATTAATACCTTATTAATACTTAACAAGCACACCTTAATATAAAGCGTTACCAATGACTCAAGGTTGACCTATTCACATTTCATAATGTCATAAAAAATATATTGATATTTACACTTCTAAGACTCAAAAGCCGTCAAATTGACTGCTTTGGGAATTACGGTGTTAACAGAAGAAACACAAACCTGGTTCAATTAAGAAGAAGTATGTGGAGGCACAGAGAGGTGTAGGGTCAGAGAGTTTTTATTATTTTATCTGAATTCTCAGTGACACCCTATTAGAAATGAATTAATAATTAAGAGATAAAGTGAACAGTGGAGACATTTCGGTGTTGCATCACAAGTTACAGAGAGTAGGAATGAGGAGCACACAGCACATGATAAATGAATAATAACGTTAAACTAAAATAAGATCTCCAACTCTAGCATAAAAAGAAACCGTTTACAATCTCTATCTTTGGCGTGATAACATGGTCTTTTCTGCAGGGTAGAAAGACTAATACAAGTAGCTTCCCAACCACATCCCACATTCTCAGATCCCACATTTTCATATCCCCCAAATTAAATCAGCACCACTTTCCCTCTACAACACTTTAAATCAGACCATTCACAATATTCATAGTCGGTATCTATAAGCTAGACGAAGCATTCCGAGCTGAACTAATTGCTTTTAAAACGACGGTAAATCCCCCTGTGCGCTCCATTACTCCGCACTGGTCTTTGTTGGCTCCACGGATGGCGTCCTTTGCACAAACGCAGAGTACAGTGCATTAACGGCGGCCTTGACTCTCAGCAGCTGGCCGTGGCGGTGCCAGTGGCGGGGCGGGTAGATTTGGTACACTGGGTTAATTGTTAGTGGCGTCGAAGTTGGCCCTCATTAACCTTTACTGCCGTATGTTTTGGAGCCATCTGTTGCACCGAAAACACCTCGATGGAGCAGATGCAGACGTGGAAGAGACGACGCCCGGTTCCAAGGACGTTAGCCGCGACCGCTAAAGCGCAGGTTAGAGCGACGTTGGGCCTGGATGTATTTGCCATTTGCAGGAAAACCACATTGGAACACATGTGTAAAAGTACCGCAGACAAATATGTGAAATAAAACAAGCTAAAAAGTACAACTGTCAATGGGAAATCAATCAACAAAAACAGAAGCAGTTAGCATATTGAAATGTCCTGCATCTAAGCAAACGATGTCTTCTGCCAGAGGGAAGAAGCTGGAACACTGGCTCTTCCAGGGGCCAGAACAGTCTAGATTATTCTAAGAACTCGGTTTCATAGTCTGGATTCATAAAGAACCTTCAGAACAGACAGATCACAGCAATTTCAGAACGGAGCACCTCTCTCTGGTCTCTCTCTGGTCTCTCTCTGGTCTCTCTCTGGTCTCTCTCTGGTCTCTCTCTGGTCTCTCTCTGGCCTCTCTCTGGCCTCTCTCTGATCTCTCTCTGATCTCTCTCTCTGGTCTCTCTCTGGCCTCTCTCTGGTCTCTCTCTGGTCTCTCTCTGGTCTCTCTCTGGTCTCTCTCTGGCCTCTCTCTAATCTCTCTCTGGTATCTGATATCTGGTCTCACAGCTCAGACCTCGTTTAAAGCTCTCCTTTCTTTGGCTGTGATGTTGCCAAACAACACAGTCACAGAACCAACAAGCGTTTGTAGTAAATTCTCTTAGTAACGGGTTGACCACTGTCTATAAATGTTAACAAACGTCCTTAAATGTCCCACTGTCCTTGCCCCCCTGCGTCTGTAAAGGACAACAAATAAGTAAGAAAACCTCAGCTCACAATGAGAAATGGATCTGCTCCTAACAACAGACATACAATTTTAAGCTCAAGACAATGCAAAATCTCGTGTTACTGCTTGTTTGTTTTGTTTCCTGTAGCATAATTAAATCATGGTTTGATTGACAGCTGCGGCGCTGAACAATGCAGATCTTATGTCACTGCCTCCACATCTGTCCTTTTGTTCTGTCAGAGCAGAGAGCGTAATTGCAGCGTTTGCGAGACTGACGAGACAATCCCACGGAGCTCCACCGCGAATCTGGAACAAGATACTATCCCTCTCCCCGGCTGAGCGCTTCTAGTAAGTAAGTAAGTAAGTAAGTTAGTTTTTATTTATATACCGCCTTTTCACTGCAGATCTGAGTCTCAAAGCGGTTTACAATTGTTAATTTTGGGCATTTGTCTCTCACTCCACACAGAGATGGGAGCGGGGCCAGTACAGGAGGCACATGCCAGAACTATTGGACATATTTTTAGTGGTAGGGGAAACCAGAGTACCCGGAGGAAACCTACGCAGACACGGGGAGAACATGCAAACTCCACTCAGAAAGGCCCTGGTCCGGCCGGGATTTGAACCCAGGACCTTCTTGCTGAGAGGCTAGAGTGCTATCCACTCAGCCACCGTGCCGCCCGTGCCGCTTCTCTGGCGATGTGATGGATACACATGGAGGCAAATCGTGCAAAATCTACTTTTTTTTTTTTTTTTAACCAAATACAACATTGTTCCCTCGTCAAAACAGACTCTAACATGTAACTCTGCCACTTCTGCCTAAAAGCTCATGTCTCGGGTCCCTTTCATGCAATCTCGGAAACACGGGCAGAAACTCGGTCAGAAACTCGGTCTGAAACTCGGTCTGAAACTCTGGCTGAAACTCGGGCTGAAACTCGGGCTGAAACTCGGGCTGAAACTCGGGCTGAAACTCGGGCTGAAACTCGGGCTGAAACTCGGGCTGAAACTCGGGCTGAAACTCGGTCTGAAACACAGGCAGAAACTCGGGCTGAAACTTGGGCTGAAACTCGGGCTGAAACACGGGCAGAAACTCGGGCTGAAACTTGGGCTGAAACTCGGGCTGAAACTCGGGCTGAAACTCGGGCTGAAACACGGGCAGAAACTCGGGCTGAAACTCGGGCTGAAACTCGGGCTGAAACTCGGTCTGAAACTCGGGCTGAAACTCGGGCTGAAACTCGGGCTGAAACACGGGCTGAAACTCGGGCTGAAACTCGGGCTGAAACTCGGGCTGAAACTCGGGCTGAAACTCGGGCTGAAACTCGGGCTGAAACTCGGGCTGAAACTCGGGCTGAAACTCGGGCTGAAACTCGGTCTGAAACTCGGGCTGAAACTCTGTCTGAAACTCGGGCTGAAACTCGGTCTGAAACTCGGGCTGAAACACAGGCAGAAACTCGGGCTGAAACTTGGGCTGAAACTCGGGCTGAAACTCGGGCTGAAACTCGGGCTGAAACTCGGTCTGAAACACAGGCAGAAACTCGGGCTGAAACTTGGGCTGAAACTCGGGCTGAAACACGGGCAGAAACTCGGGCTGAAACTTGGGCTGAAACTTGGGCTGAAACTCGGGCTGAAACTCGGGCTGAAACACGGGCAGAAACTCGGGCTGAAACTCGGGCTGAAACTCGGGCTGAAACTCGGTCTGAAACTCGGGCTGAAACTCGGGCTGAAACTCGGGCTGAAACACGGGCTGAAACTCGGGCTGAAACTCGGGCTGAAACTTGGGCTGAAACTCGGGCTGAAACTCGGGCTGAAACTCGGTCTGAAACTCGGTCTGAAACTCGGGCTGAAACTCGGGCTGAAACTCGGGCTGAAACTTGGGCTGAAACTCGGGCTGAAACACGGGCGGAAACACGGGCAGAAACTCGGGCTGAAACTCGGGCTGAAACTCGGGCTGAAACTCGGTCTGAAACTCGGGCTGAAACTCGGGCTGAAACTCGGGCTGAAACTCGGGCTGAAACTTGGGCTGAAACTCGGGCTGAAACTCGGGCTGAAACTCGGTCTGAAACTCGGTCGTAAACTCGGGCTGAAACTCGGGCTGAAACTCGGGCTGAAACTTGGGCTGAAACTCGGGCTGAAACACGGGCGGAAACACGGGCAGAAACTCGGGCTGAAACTCGGGCTGAAACTCGGGCTGAAACTCGGTCTGAAACTCGGGCTGAAACTTGGGCTGAAACTCGGGCTGAGGCAATGGTCTCTGAGTTCACCTGTGTCCGATTGTGATTGGATGAAAGAATAGGGACAAACTGAGAGCAATGATAAACATTAGGAAACATATCAATTATAAATTAGACTTGGACGGCGAACGAGAAAAGACGTTTAGCAACATTTCTACAAATGTTTTCATTGTTGTTGTCCTGCGTGTGCGTGTGTGCTTGTATGTCTTGTTTGTCTGCGTTTGTATCTCTGTGTGGAGTGAGAGACAAATGCCCACAATTGTAAACCGCTTTGTGACTCTGGTCAGTGAAAGGCGCTATATAGATTACTTACTTACACCACTATGACATCACACACACACACACACACACACCCACACCCACACACACACTGCCTTTTAAAACAAAATTATTGTTTCGTAAATTAGCTTTGTAAATTCCTCTAGTGAGTTACGTTCTTTACAACCGCATGACTGTGTTTGAAGCTGGTCATTTTCAAATTTGGAATCTACTGTATCAAAACCAATTGAAGTCTTTCCTCTGGTGGTCACATATAGAGTTACAAACAGAAAGCCTATTTTACCCTATTTGTTTAACAGTCTCTTTTCTACTCATGATCTCATTTCTAAATAAATAGTCTCATTATTAATTTGAATAACCAAAATGAATACTGAGAGAGACAAACAGCGTCAGGAATGTGGAAATTCATATCAAAACATGAATATTTTTTGCCCTGAGAGTCGGTAAACACAACATCGCCCGCTGAAATCTGTGTGTACAAGATTGTAATCTCGGAGTCAGTTGGCGTGGCAGCCGCTTTCACAGTTGGATTGGATTTGGGGTCCGCACGGACGTCAGGCGTTTGATTGCGTACAAATGAAAAAAGAACGTTTCCACGGCTTCCCTGTTGCCTTTTTGCACAGATCGAAACTCTCCCAAGGACAAACGCTGTGCAGGGTTTTACACTTCTTTTGGAAAAGAAAATAGTGCGTGACAGAGCAGAGAATGGAGCGATTCATTGTTTTTGTGGGAAAAATTGTGTTTGTAGACAGGTGTGCGTCTAAAGGGGAAGGAAAGTATGGCACAAACTTGACACTTAAGCCTCAGTCTGCTGATAGATAGATAGATCTATCTATCGGAGCCCGTGGGGAGTAGCGCCAGCGATTACATTTGTTAAACATTCCTCTTGCTTCGGCTTCAATTTCTTGATAGAACCAGAACGGAATACTCGGAATAATCTACAACCTGCCTGTTCGGCGCAAACTCTTGACATCACCCACAACTAACCACAACACCCGCCTCCCGCGCTGCCTGATTGGTCGGCTGGAATTCAACGGATTGTAATCGCAAACACAGGGACCAGACCCAGACGTTACATGCAGTAAACGGATGCAGTACGGATGGATAAGGCCAGGCTAGTTTAGATCCCCATCTTAACACGGATTGTATTATTCAGTGCTCCAGACATCTCTATCATAAAGATGAGGATTTGAACCCACAAAGCCTTATGTAACAACATCCTATCCCCAGACAAAAAACAATGTTAAAGTTAAAAAGCATTAGGACATGGCTTATATGATCTAAAAGACACTGCTGGCCTCCTTCATGAGGCCTGGACCCTGTGGAACCATCAGAGAGACTCGGAGCGTTTCTTCTGCTGTGTTTTAAGCAGACCTGATCTGTATTTGCCAAAAGGAATCCACCCCCAACCTCCAGAGAGCACCTGGCTGGCTTCACTCTCACATTCTTACATCTACGCAGTGCTCCCTGTACTTCTCTGTGATCACATCCCCTTTGTGTTAAACCACTGGAAACCACAGCAGCACAGTGAAGCCCCTCGTATCTGCCTTGTTTCAGAGTTACACATAAGCATCACATAAGCCTCAGTTATTCCTTTGGTCGTTCTGGCTCTTAATAAGCCCGATGATAAGATAAGATAACCTTTACTCATGCCTCGGTGGGTAAATGTCAGAGTCAGTGTTGCGTACATAACAGATAGTACATTTCTCGAGCTATAATTGCACTTATAAGCTGAAACTCGGGCTGAAACTCGGGCTGAAACTCGGGCTGAAACTCGGGCTGAAACTCGGGCTGAAACTCGGGCTGAAACTCGGGCTGAAACTCGGTCTGAAACTCGGGCTGAAACTCTGTCTGAAACTCGGGCTGAAACTCGGTCTGAAACTCGGGCTGAAACACAGGCAGAAACTCGGGCTGAAACTTGGGCTGAAACTCGGGCTGAAACTCGGGCTGAAACTCGGGCTGAAACTCGGTCTGAAACACAGGCAGAAACTCGGGCTGAAACTTGGGCTGAAACTCGGGCTGAAACACGGGCAGAAACTCGGGCTGAAACTTGGGCTGAAACTTGGGCTGAAACTCGGGCTGAAACTCGGGCTGAAACTCGGGCTGAAACTCGGGCTGAAACTCGGGCAGAAACTCGGGCTGAAACTCGGGCTGAAACTCGGGCTGAAACTCGGGCTGAAACTCGGGCTGAAACTCGGGCTGAAACACGGGCAGAAACTCGGGCTGAAACTCGGGCTGAAACTCGGGCTGAAACTCGGTCTGAAACTCGGGCTGAAACTCGGGCTGAAACTCGGGCTGAAACACGGGCCCGATGATAAGATAAGATAACCTTTACTCATGCCTCGGTGGGTAAATGTCAGAGTCAGTGTTGCGTCCATAACAGATAGTACATTTCTCGAGCTATAATTGCACTTGAGACAAAAATAGAGAATAAATTATGTACAAATGGTTTATATTATGTCATCCTAATTACCGATTCATTATTATGATCACAGTTAATGTAGAAGACCTAACATCATGCTACTAAACAGTAAGATGCAGTTTGTTAGCTCCGAAATACCCGTTACCTTTTTGCTGAGTGAGAACCAGGACGCTCAAGACCCACAGAACTCAAAGACAATTCACATGGCACTGTTCTATTGTAGCCACAGCTGCCCTGGGGCACACTGACCACACACGACACACACACTGTACCCACCAGACTCATTCCAGGTAATGTAGAGGAAGTGTCTTGCCGAAGAACACGACGACAGTTTGGCTCTTTACAACCGCAGCCGTCCCAGTGTTGCACCTGGTGTTCCCAGAGGTCTCCCATCACAGTACTACCAAGGCCCTGCCCTGCTTAGCTTCAGAGATCTGACGTGATCTGGCTTTCACATGCAGGTATGGCCACACCCAGGTAGTAAGGTGGCGTAGATCCTGGGTTCAATTTCACCTCCAAGCCTTTCTTTTCGAAGTTTGTATGGTCTCCCCTTGTGTGCGTAGGTTTTCCTCCAGGTGCTCCGGTTTCCCCTGCCACTAAAAACATGTTCAGTAGGTCTGGCAGGCGTTTCCTGTTTGGCGACGCAGCTCCCATCTCTGTGTGGAGTCAGAGATAAATTCCCACAACAATTGCGCTGCATGAATAAATATTACTTAAGCATTACTAAAGCATGTCCTACCCTCATGAATCAAACTCTAGGCCTTTTCCATGTTATTTAACGGCATTTTGGTCTAGACTAGAGTGTAAAACGTGTCCTCCATCTTGCCAGAATAGTAACACTACAAGAATCTCCTACAAAGACAAGACCCGGTGTATTTGGGAGTGTGTTACAAAGTAATTTACCGTCAGAAATGTTTTGGACCCGGCGCACATTTCTCCTTATTATCCGAACATAGCCACGGTGGCGTGTTTACAGCTTTCATTTCCAAACGGCAGACTCCGGAGCACTAATTAAGCTTGTTTTGCTGCTGCGACCGCCTCACACTGAGCCTCCATTGTGGCTCTTCCATTAATGATGACAGGATCTGAGCTTTTCTCTCTTAATGTGACAGCGGCGCGCACATCCGACCATTACTCACAACATCGTAAAGCACAAAAGCGCCTTTTGAAAATACAGGTGGACATATTTACCATGGACAGCGTTTGATATTCAGTTCATATTTAATTGCAAAATAAAAGTGATGGTCAAACAAAATATTGTGTGTTGGGAATGGACAGAAAGTACAGACTCGTAAGAATACAGGCAGTGGTGGAAGGAGTCGTTTTAGAGTAAGTAAAAGTACATATCAAGGGGAAACGTACACAAATCACAGAAATATCTAAAGAAAAGTGAAGTAATGTAATAATAATAAAAACAGATATTTCTACTTTTGTGGCTTCGCTGTTTTGCAGATTTTTTGGGTTCAATTTGCTTGCTATCATATACAACCACTAGTATAAAACCGTAACCTTTACTTACTACCGCAGTCTCTCTCAGATCTCTCTCTGGCCTCCTTCTGGTCTCTCTCTGGTCTCTCTCTGGTCTCTCTCTGGTCTCTCTCTGGTCTCTCTCTGGTCTCTCTCTGGTCTCTCTCTGGTCTCTCTCTGGTCCTCCCGTAGCCCTGAGTCCTGCTCCTGTCCCTCAATGTCCTCTGCCGTATATCCACAACTTTTGACAGCTACAGCAGCGCTCAGACCTACAACCAACAGGTTTGATGTCTCTGGTCTCGCTCTCTGGTCTCGCTCTCTGGTCTCGCTCTCTGGTCTCGCTCTCTGGTCTCGCTCTCTGGTCTCGCTCTCTGGTCTCGCTCTCTGGTCTCGCTCTCTGGTCTCGCTCTCTGGTCTCGCTCTCTGGTCTCGCTCTCTGGTCTCGCTCTCTGGTCTCGCTCTCCGGTCTCGCTCTCCGGTCTCGCTCTCCGGTCTCGCTCTCCGGTCTCGCTCTCCGGTCTCGCTCTCCGGTCTCGCTCTCCGGTCTCGCTCTCCGGTCTCGCTCTCCGGTCTCGCTCTCCGGTCTCTCTGGCCTCTCTCTCTGGCCTCTCTCTCTGGCCTCTCTCTCTGGTCTCTCACTGGTCTCTCTCTCGTCTCTCTCTCGTCTCTCTCTCGTCTCTCTCTCTGGTCTCTCTCTGGCCTCTCTCTCTGGTCTCTCACTGGTCTCTCTCTCTGGTCTCTCACTGGTCTCTCTCTCGTCTCTCTCTCTGGTCTCTCTCTGGTCTCTCACTGGTCTCTCTCTCGTCTCTCTCTCTGGTCTCTCTCTGGCCTCTCTCTCTGGCCTCTCTCTCTGGCCTCTCTCTCTGGCCTCTCTCTCTGGTCTCTCTCTCGTCTCTCTCTCTGGTCTCTCTCTGGCCTCTCTCTGGCCTCTCTCTCTGGTCTCTCTCTCTGGTCTCTCTCTGGTCTCTCTCTCTGGCCTCTCTCTGGCCTCTCTCTGGTCTCTCTCTCTGGTCTCTCTCTCTGGTCTCTCTCTCTGGTCTCTCTCTCTGGTCTCTCTCTCTGGCCTCTCTCTCTGGCCTCTCTCTGGTCTCTCTCTGGTCTCTCTCTGGTCTCTCTCTCGTCTCTCTCTCTTCAGCAGTCGTGAGTTCAGGTGGTCAGAAAAGTGTGTGAGAGGGTTTCATAGAATTAAAAAACAGAGCTGATACATAAACAAGGGACCACCGTATAATATTGTTGAAGAATTGTTAAGTTTTAACAACGGATTGGTCAAAATAAAAAATAAAAATCTATAGCACTGGTATTCTGAATTATGGCCTTGTAGGATTCTCACTCTATACTGTATATGTTTCAACCAGAAAGAGGAGTTCAATTTGTTTTGTTTTACTGCAAATTAGAAAATGACCAGCTGCAAACAAAGTCACGACATTGTCACCGGAGAAATGGACAAAACGAATTTAGAATTTTCCCCATTGACATGTACCGATACTTTTGTTACCGCCCACCACTGAACACAACTTCTATACAACGACAATGGGAAGCAGCACAGAGGCCTGGCAACACAATGCACAAACCCACACGGAAACGCCAGAATAAAAATCAAATAAATACAATTATTATCATTATTTATATATTCAAATAAATACAAAGAAACATTGATTCCCCTCCAGACTCGGGTTTGTACACGAACATAAAAAATAACAGTTAAACATGATAAAAAATGTCTTTACAAAGAATGTACATTTCTATACAATATTCGTCAATGACATTTCTTACAGGCAAACCATTAAAACTTCATTTCTATCTTTTTGCTCCAAAGTTTTTTTTTTTTTTTTACTATTCTAGCTGGTATCGGAAATAATTATCATAGTGAGTCGTATATATATGTACAATAAAAGTAAAGTATTAGTATGTAAACATTTTCCTCATAAATTACAACAGTAAAAGCAATGCTAAATATTGGACACATCACCGTACGCTTCATAAGAACAGGCTACCAGCAGAAAAGATGGACACGCAGCAGTTTCCCCCAGCTTTTTAAATCATCCGTAAAATTCCGTGTACAAAAATAGTGCTAAATATTTCACATTATCGTCCTCCTCCAGACATATTTTTAGCCACTTTTTTTTTTCGTCGTTGTTGTGGATGATATTGGATGTAATTAGCCCGTCGCACCACCCAGTCGGCTCGATAAAAACGCCTCAGTTTTAAAACCAGACCAAACCGAAGCCAAAAAATACAACAACAAAAAAATGATAGTATCGCCATGGAAACAGAAGCATGGGCGAGTGAAGGGCCGAGTGCTGGGGTGAAGCAAAAGACAGGATTTTGGACCGATTTTGGCTTTTTCTGTGTTTATTTTTTTTTTTTTTGGGTCAGATCCAGCTGCTGTAGTAGTTAATTAGTTGAACCCAGAGTCAATTGGAATTCAGTGTTTTCCAAGCAGAGGTACAGGGGCCATGTTGTGCAATGGCTGAAGTCTAATGTAAGGTAATGTATTGCATAAAAATAATAAAATGTGGGGTAATAATTTCCATTTAGCACTTTTTTAAGAACTGTTGCTTTATTTTCTCATTTCAAAGGAGACATTTCTTGTATTGTATTGGAAAAACATATTTTAAGGCAGACATATATAAAGATTTTTTTATTTTGTTTTCAAATTTGAGACATTTTTGACATATTTGTTATCCCTTTGTGTATTGAAGTTGGAGAATGTTCATGAAGCAAACCACAAAAGTGAATCCCTCTCCTAACAGTTTGTTCCGTCACTAATTTTCACATAGATTTTTCAGCTTCTTTAATTTTTCTGACTGAAAAAATTGATCCAAGAATGTGGTTTTCTCTCTCAGCCTCTAATAGTGACTTTACAGGGATCTTTCTCTTATGCTAAATAAAAGTTTAAGGTGGTCTGGTCTGATTTGTTTTACTTTTGGGACAAATATTTAATTAGGAAATGTTCGGTAGCCCATTTAATAAAAGTTCGGAACGGATCAATATTGTTCAAACGTTTGAGTAAATGTTTTGAGTTAGAAAAGACTTTAAGCCTTGCATACATCGACAGAGAAACTGGAGACAACTAGTTTCAAGGCGGCTTTTGGCGACTGAGAGTAGATGATGGAGAAGTTGCTGAAATCGGTCGATGTGAGAGCTCTTACAACTAGAGATAAACAATCGATCTCCGGATTCAGTCAGTTGCCCGTGTTCTACTTTTCGGCCACTAGTTGTCCTCAGATCCGGAGATATCACCCGATGTGCGCGCTCCAACAACATGTGTGTATTGCGCCCTCTACAGTTTATGTCAGAAAACACACTGTAGTTGAGGCCAGTTGCTGTCGATGTACGCGCTGTTATTCCTGCTACTGGGAGTTGCCCATTTTCGCCAGATTGTCGATGTGTGCGGGGCAGCAACTCATAGGTGACGGATATAATCAGTCGCCAGTACGATGTACGCTAGGCATTAGAGTTGACTGCGCTCAAGCAAGGAAGCTGCGAGTTTGATTCTTGTGCCGGCCCGGGCTTTTCTGTGTTGAGTTGGACATGTTGTGCTCATGGACAAAGTTTTGAGCCTATTGACTGACATTGAAAAGTAAACCCCTCTAAGTAACTGTTTCCATCATATTTCTGGGAATAGAAATTGCTCCTGTTTTGGTATATTTTGATATTATCTTTGTAAATCCAGATATGAGCCATTTCAAGATTGACCAAACAGACGCCTGGGAAATTCCACCTTGCCTTAACAACCATCCTAGCAACACGTCTGCCCCTGTGACGGCGCCAGGTTCACGCCGTTGGAAGAAATGCCCATATAAAGAAATTGGGTCAAATGTAGAGAACAAATGTGTTTTTACCGTCAAAACGATTGCATCCGCTGCTTTACACGGCTCAGAAAAGTCAATTTAGTTCACCGATATCTATATCTCTCATCCGAACTGTGTACATTTGCATATTTTTGCATTTCTTCCCTGGGGTACCGTGAAGCAGCCGCATAGATGTGAAAAATACTGCTCTCAAAACAACAAAACAGCCTTTTGCATGAATAATTAACAAGAAACGAGCCGGCTAATAATATCACTCAGAGGCTATGTTTACCGTGTGCTAATTGTTAAGCACTCAAGCAAAACCTAGCAGTGTTCGTCAGGTATAGAAGCCGCAGTAAGATTTGGGATTGGAGATCGCTGTTGACAGGAGCAGTGCATGTTGGGATACGTGTTGGTTGGCAGTCGGCCCAGTACACTGGTTTTTTAGAGTTTTTCTTTTCTGATGTAAGTCCTTTGAGATAACTACTGTTGTAATTTAGGGCTATAAAAACACAAAAAATGAATTAAATGTATATATATATTTTGTTCTGGTTTCAGTCTGACTATGTCCTGTTTACACCTGCTTGGTACAATTATTTGGCTCAAAGCACAACATTGACCCGAGGGAAGAATGAGTTGAATAGCCCTGTATTGCTGTATGTACCCAGTCCTCGGTCTGCGGCCTGAGTCCTGGATCTAGAGCCTGCCCTTCTGTGGGAGCGGATTTTCTCATGTTGAAGGTGTGGGGGGAGACTGGAATAATAAGTGTCTGCTTCCTCCATCTCCTTTTCAAACCGTGCACACGGATATCAGTGTCTGTGAAGAATATTTTTTTTGTTATCCCTGGTTTTTATATAAATAATTCTATTAAATATTATGGTAAGCTGGCTGTCGGAAGGGCTTCTGCTGAAATCATTTGGGAAAAGGCGAATGGACTCAAAATATGGTTTTCCATCTTGTTTGTTTGGGTTCACTTCTACTGGTATCTGCCCAATTGGCTAATGGGTAATAAGTCCAGCCTTCTGATTGGCCGAACTCAGGCCCACTGATGGTTTGGACCCAAAAGTATCAGCAGTAGCTCAGAAAGATTGACAAATAAACTGAGTGAGGACATATTCATATAAATGGCATATACAGTTGTTGAAAAAGAAAAGTGGAAAAAATGAACCCAATTCCCTTTGTTAACCTCTTAAAAAATGCAGCACTGTCATTTCCCGGTAAATACATTAATAAAAGACTGGAGGATTTGAAAACCCGGACTCATTCGGATGCTTCCATTCCAGTAATTCCATCCAGATCTCTTTGTGCTTTTTGCTAAAACATGATTACATCTTGTTCCAGGGAAAGTGCACAGAAACCGAAATGAACCGTGGGCCAATAACGCGTTGGAATGGAAGTCCAAATAGTCCCGATAATTACTGAGGTGGCTCTGCGCCGCACGACTGGGCTTCTCAATGTGATTTAGCAACTTCTCAGTCCGTCCTCCGGCTCCTGCGTCTCTCGGAGGTGACGATGACGGAGATGGATCCACGCTCCACACACCCTCCACAGCCCTGGGAAAGACCACAGCAAAGGTTCATATCACAGGATTCTTCTGTTGTTTGTCTGTAAATACCAACAATTTCAAATCTGAGACATTGTTGTTACGTTTGTTCTCGGCTACTGTACTAGGGCCTTTATCAACTGTGTGTCCACTATTTAATGCAGCCAGTGACAGTCCTCTATTGTCAAAACATACAAAATAATAGATGTATGGATTCCCAGCTGTGTCAAAACACATCCAGCAAAACTTGTAGTTGAATTATTGATTTTATTTTATTTATTTTACAAGATCCCAGTCCTATTATCCCACTCTGTCCTCAGCAACAAATCAAAAATGTGGTTTCATGATCTGTATCCCGCAGCAGCAGAACTGTCCGCTCCGTCAGCCTCTCTATGAGTTCAAGCCTAATGGAGGTGTCTGGGGAGGGGGGAGTTGCGCCTTGACAACGACAAGTCATCGTTGTTGCCCTTAACATTCATATATAAAAAAACAAAAACATAGTACATTCCAATCCAACAGTCTGGACCTTGCTACCAGCACCTCCCACCTGCACACCAAATTCGTCTGGGAATGTTTGGAAAATCCTGCCATTTTCATCTAGTTATTGACCAATATTCAGCAGTAGATCATAATAGCACGGTGGCTGAGTGGATAGCACTCTCGCAACAGAAGGTCCAGTGTTCGAATCCCGGTCGGAACAGGGCCTTTCTGAGTGGAGTTAGCATGTTCTGCCCGTGTCTGCGTAGGTTTCCTCCTGGTGCTTCGGTTTCCCCTACCACTAGAAACATGTACAGTAAGTCTGGCATGCCCCTCCTGTACTGGCCCCGCTCCCATCTCTCTGTGGAGTGACAGATAAACGCCCACGACAATTGTGAAGTGCTTTGAGGTCTGTGAAAATAAAAATAGATTACTTACTTAAAAGCAAGCAACAATGATTTCCCCCTCATTCATTTCTTCCCAAAAATAACTGTTATAAATGTTAAATAACCTAGAAAAAATACTTTATGTTGGCAACTGAGAAGAGAAAATGATAGGAACAAGGTTAAGTTTTCTTCTTTAAATCTCCACATTTCCTTGAAGTCAGAAGCGAACAGCTCTATATATAGTTCCCCAACACTCATCCACTCATGGGCACTTCTTCCACTCCCGAAAACGGTGACTATTTTTGTATAGAGTAAATGTGATGAGGATTAGTCCGGCCATGTCCGTTTGAATGGCCCCAGAAATATCTTGGAAGTACAGACACTTGCGACTGCTTCTATAATCCGCTCTCCTCCGGCCCCGGGCGATACACACTCAAGTGGGATTTTCAGCCTTTTAAATCTCTGTCATTGGTCGCTGCATTTTAAAAACATGTATGGAAAAGGCCACTGGATGTGTCTCAACCAGAGGTGCAGGGACGCTTACATGTTTTTGAGTCGAGTCGAATGGATCAGGCTCTTAGCAGTAGTTTTAATGACAAACTACAACAAATTTAATCCATATTTTGTTAGTGTAAAAGTCTGCATCATGGTCTCCTGCTGGGACTCTGAGGAGCACAGGGACTGGCCTCCTGCTGGGACTCTGAGAAGCACAGGGACTGGCCTCCTGCTGGGACTCTGAGAAGCACAGGGACTGGCCTCCTGCTGGGACTCTGAGAAGCACAGGGACTGGCCTCCTGCTGGGACTCTGAGGAGCACAGGGACTGGCCTCCTGCTGGGACTCTGAGGAGCACAGGGACTGGCCTCCTGCTGGGACTCTGAGGAGCACAGGGACTGGCCTCCTGCTGGGACTCTGAGGAGCACAGGGACTGGCCTCCTACTGGGACTCTGAGGAGCACAGGGACTGGCCTCCTGCTGGGACTCTGAGGAGCACAGGGACTGGCCTCCTGCTGGGACTCTGAGGAGCACAGGGACTGGCCTCCTGCTGGGACTCTGAGGAGCACAGGGACTGGCCTCCTGCTGGGACTCTGAGGAGCACAGGGACTGGCCTCCTGCTGGGACTCTGAGGACCACAGGGACTGGCCTCCTGCTGGGACTCTGAGGAGCACAGGGACTGGCCTCCTGCTGGGACTCTGAGGAGCACAGGGACTGGCCTCCTGCTGCGACTCAGAGTCAGAACTAAACATGGGGAGGCACCATCCCAAATTCATGCAGCTAAATCTGGATAAATCTTCCTGAAAATACGTTTTCAAAGTTCGAATCCAGGTTTAAATCCAGGTTCTGTTTAGCTGTACATACAACTCAAGAATTTTGTCTTCCCTCATGTACTGTGTTTGTGTGTTTTTCTTGTTTTGTTAAACCATTTGAGTTGCACTGCGTATGACCTGTGCTATACAATTAACTTGCCTGGCCCTTTGGAAAATATATGATTTTTCTGGAGGAACACACAGCACAGATACACTTTCTGCACATGCATGAGCCGCACAGAAAGATGTAATTACAGATCGGGCGTTCATTATGTTCATATTAATGTAAATGTTTCCATTGTGAGATCAATAAAGTCTTTCTCATAATTTCTTATTCACTCATAAAGTAATTTTTCTTTGCAAAGATATTTCCCTTGACAAGCGAGAGGCAGATGCAAACTGACATGCAATTGCTTATGTTTTAATGATAAGTGTAATGGGGTGAGATATATACGGGTTTGTTTACATACAGTATATGCATCATTCATTAGCTTTACCAGAATCCATTTCAAGACGAATGTAAACAGGTTCTTGTTTGTGTTGATGGTGCGGGGATTAGAGCCATAATTGACAGACGCTTCAGGCTGATGCGTCCAGGGAGCGGCCGCTGATGTACTCATGCTATGTTTGTTTGTGGATGTTTACTATGCCTGATGTCTGCTCATTTCATTCATGAATAGTTGGAAAAATTTCAAGGATTTTCTAAAAGTTGGAAGGTGACTTTTAGCAATCTTTGAGTCCATGCGCTTTTCCTTCTGCTCAATACACTGCGACCAAACACCTATTGTTCTGTTGAAGTCCATAGGAGCTGTCTGGGTGGAACTTTGGAGCCAAGGACTTTGGAGCGAGCGACGTTGGAGAGAAGGACATTGGAGAGAAGGACATTGGAGTGAATGACATTGGAGTGAAGGACATTGGAGTGAAGGACATTGGAGTGAAGGACATTGGAGTGAAGGACATTGGAGTGAAGGACATTGGAGTGAAGGACATTGGAGTGAAGGACATTGGAGTGAAGGACATTGGAGTGAAGGACATTGGAGTGAAGGACATTGGAGTGAAGGACATTGGAGTGAAGGACTTTGGAGTGAAGGACATTGGAGTGAAGGACATTGGAGTGAAGGACATTGGAGAGAAGGACTTTGGAGAGAAGGACATTGGAGTGAAGGACATTGGAGAGAAGGACATTGGAGTGAAGGACATTGGAGAGAAGGACTTTGGAGAGAAGGACATTGGAGTGAAGGACATTGGAGAGAAGGACTTTGGAGAGAAGGACATTGGAGTGAAGGACATTGGAGAGAAGGACTTTGGAGAGAATGACATTGGAGTGAATGACATTGGAGTGAAGGACATTGGAGTGAAGGACATTGGAGAGAAGGACATTGGAGTGAAGGACATTGGAGTGAAGGACATTGGAGAGAAGGACTTTGGAGAGAAGGACATTGGAGAGAATGACATTGGAGTGAAGGACATTGGAGAGAAGGACTTTGGAGAGAAGGACATTGGAGTGAAGGACATTGGAGAGAAGGACTTTGGAGAGAATGACATTGGAGTGAAGGACATTGGAGAGAAGGACTTTGGAGAGAATGACATTGGAGTGAATGACATTGGAGTGAAGGACATTGGAGTGAAGGACATTGGAGAGAAGGACATTGGAGTGAAGGACATTGGAGTGAAGGACATTGGAGAGAAGGACTTTGGAGAGAAGGACATTGGAGAGAATGACATTGGAGTGAAGGACATTGGAGAGAAGGACTTTGGAGAGAAGGACATTGGAGTGAAGGACATTGGAGAGAAGGACTTTGGAGAGAATGACATTGGAGTGAAGGACATTGGAGAGAAGGACTTTGGAGAGAAGGACGTTGGAGAGAAGGACGTTGGAGAGAAGGACTTTGGAGAGAAGGACATTGGAGTGAAAGACTGGACATGAATAGAATCCAAATGTAAATTCTCTGGAGCAGCGCATCACCGCCACCAGCCACAGCTGCTCTCACTGATGTAGAGCTCTGCACCCGAGGAGAAAGGAGGTGCACGGGATTCAGAGACGCCTGACCCTGGACCAACACATGCTCCAGGACTATTTCAATCTGGAGAGACTCGAACTGACACAACATGGGTATTATTAGAATTGTATATTTGTTGGCAGTAATCTGACACTAATAAATAATAATAAAATACACTTATGATTCTGAGGACAATATTTTCAAGATTACATTAATTGTTGCTGTACAAAAAGTGGTCAGGATTTGGCGCTCCAGCAGAGCACTGTGATGCAGAAGGGGAAAGAGATTATGAGATGAAATCCCCCGGGCCTAGACCCTGGTGGTGGTAGCTATAGGAGAAGGATGAAAGAGCGGACCCGGAACAAGGCGGAGATGGGGAAGAGGAGGGTTGCAGCGTGAATGAAGCTGCTGCTTGGATGGAGCTTCCTCGCGATGGGATTCTTGATGCGGGCAGTGCCTGATTGCTGCCAGGTGAGGGCAGTGTGGCGCAGCAGGTAAAAGACAATGGTGGGACGGTGGCTGAGTGGATAGCACTCTCGCCTCTCAGCAAGAAGGTCCTGGGTTCAAATCCCGGCCGGACCAGGGCCTTTCTGAGTGGAGTTTGCATGTTCTCCCTGTGTCTGCGTAGGTTTCCTCCGGGTACTCCGGTTTCCCCTACCACTAAAAATATGTACAATAGGTCTGGCATGCGCCTCTTGTTCGGCGACCCCCCTCCTGTCTCTGTGTGGAGTGAGAGGACAAGTGCCCAAAAAAATAACAATTGTAAAACCGCTTTGTGACTCTGGTCTGTGAAAGGCGGTATATAAATAAAGCTTACTTACTTACTTACTTACTTACTTACATTGGGGGAACGCAAATTCACCCCAACACATGCTAAATCCAATCCCACGACCAACCTAAAATCCAGGTGTCATAAGAATGGGTCAAACGCACTAAAAGTACAATAGCCGGATTCTAGCATGTTCTGAAATGATTGAAACATTATCACTTTATCTGTAATTTCCCCGCTGTGGGACTAATAAAGGCTTTTATTTGAGAAACTGTGGAACTATTCTTTGTTGTTTGCTCCAGTTTCTTTTTACACCCATTATTTTGTCCAACTGTTAAAACTTATTTGCAAGTTTCCCCATGACTTGCCTCAGCTTTGGAAACCACACAATTATTTAAGGCTTCATTCTAGCAGCTCTTTAGCAGTGGATAAGTGTAATGCATGTTGACAGCTAGTGCAATTTTAATAAACAGCTGTGAGCAAAAGCTGTAAATACGCCATTTCTGCTAATATGGTAAGTGGCTGTCAGAATGGTTTATACAGGGCACGGCACTCAAGAGCGCCAACGAGATGTTAATATGGTGTAAGTGCTTCAAAACCCACTCGGACCAGGGCTAAAGTTACCATGGATGACTTTACAATTTTATACCAACAACAAAAGTCCACGTTCTTTCCTTTTATCTTAACTGGTGCTTTTAAAATTGGCTCAGAGCTCGATCCACTGTGGCTCTATACGTACTGACTGCTAACAGCATTAGCGCCAAAGAGCTGTCAGAGGAGTTGGCTTAATCTTCACGTTGTCAGAGAGTTTAGGCCCAGGAGCATTTCATCAAGAAGTTTGTTAACAACCATTGTGTTTGTGTTTGTGTTTGTTACGAGGTGAACAGGGCCAATTTCAAAACATTACTCCAAAACTTGGTCTTACTTTTAAAGACCCAACTCTACTTGCCGACGTTGATAATTACACATTTCTGCGGGCCAGTTTCAAAAGGGTATAGAACCGCATATGTGACCAAGACACAGACTTTAATCACAAGCCTCCATCAGGACAGAACGCTTCAAAGACAGAGGATCCCATGATGCCATTACAGAACGTATCAGGCAAGAGTAAGAAGGGCTCCCTGTCTCTTTGAAATTCTCCTGTCGGTTCAGTGTACGACCGTAAATCCATGGCAGAGGCCAGGTTAGAGTCTTGTGAGGCAGAGAGGGACGATCAGACTTTTGTACTCTATAAAGAAGGAGCAAAACTTCTTCCATGAGCACTTCTCAATTGGACTTCATTGGGCGTTGACGATGGGATTTTCTAACTCACTCCGGCTCCAATTGACTTACATGGAAAAGTAAAGTCCTCGAGCTCAGTGTGTGTCATACTCACTACTTTGGGCTTAACACATCTGTGGTTTAGTGCTCCCCATGATCCAGGTGTATGTTTTGTGATACGGTCTTTGCCATTGAACTGGGATCCCCAACTTGTGGCTCGGGAGTTACCAGTAGCTCGCCAGCCCCTTTCTGGTAGCTCGCCAAAGGATTTCGAATCTATCAAATGATCTTGAATTAATACTTTTTGAGCCAATACTGTTTTAAGTATAGGGCTATACAGTATTATGGTATATGTATGTATGTGTTCTCCATGTTTTGTCATAATTATTAGATAGATTTGTCGTAATTAACAGATAGATTTTTATTACGACTGTCTAATTGTATAAAAGTAGCTCTTTGATTGAAAAAGGTTGGAGACCTCTTCCATAGAATGAATCAATTCAGAAAAATTCAATGTATTCTTGTATAGTCCTAAATCACAGCAGTAGTTATCTCGGAGGAATTTACAAAACCGCTAGTTTTACCAACACAGATCAGAAAAACAGTTCAAACACAAGAAATAAAACTGAAAACACATTGGTATTGGTCCATAGGGGAAAGATGACCGATGTCTAATAAATGTTGATAAATGACCATAAATATTGACCAATCAGACTTCATTCATGGGGAAACTCCAGCTTGCATTAACGACACCGTATAGTGACGCGTCTGCTTCTGTTACGGCGCAGAGCCAACGCCGTCGGAAAACAAATTCCCAAACTAGAATTGAGACAAAAGCTTCCAGATTCCCATCACTATAATAGCATGAGGCTACAGATAATGAAACCCTTCTTTTTTGTGTGAAATCCAATGTCTTAGAGCTGTCTGCTCAAGAATTACATTTTGATCCATCTTCAGCCTTTCATTAAAACCGTCTTGCTGCAGGCGTGCACCGGGAGGACTTTTTTCCCATTCCTCCCCCAGAGCGGACTGCACGGCTCTGAGCTTATCCTTACATCATGTTAACCCAGAAGCACGGCTAACCCCCGACTGAGCCAGCTAACGGCGCTAACGGATGGTTTTCTCGGATCGTTACTCCCGCCCAGAGAGCGAGAGCTGGCAGGGAACTCTTTGCTTTAGTCCTCTCTGCTTCGATTAGACGGATGTTGTTTATGGGCCAGTTCTGGACCATTGGAAAGCCATTACGGCCCCGTTTTGTCAGATTGGGACATTAGCTGGCCTCGGCGCGGCAGAGACTGGTCAGCCAAATGTCACGGAGCTTATGGCTTTTACAATGATTTAGGGCTGTTTGCGGTGGTGAAGTTCACTGGTTACCGCGGTAATGAGAAGAAGATTTAAAGAGCCGGATAAAAAGCAGGAGCCGTAACTTTTTGTGTCATTTGCGAGAGAGAAAGTATGAGCTTTCCTCTTGTTAAATCTAAAAGCTGGTATGATAAAAAGTCGCTTTCAGAAAAAAGCCTGTGTGGGCAAACTTGTCAATGTCAAAATTTCAGAAGCTAAGCAAGACGGAGCCTGTTTAGTACTTGGATGGGAGACTAAAAGCATGTAAAAGCCAGCATACAATGGATAAAGAAACCAGACATGATCCCAAACCTCCACATCCTTTGTCTTTTTCTTCAGTTGTGACAAAATGTTGCGATTCTAAAGTTAAAGAGTCAGTTCAAATGGATTTTCGCAGTCGTTGGTGTGAGTCAAGAAGAATCACCTAAGTTGCTGTAAACGAGGACCTTGTTGGACCGTCAAAATCCATTCACCGGATGTTTTTCTCACACTTTTCCAAGGCTCTAAAGCAGCCTCCAGTTTTTTTCTTGGGACCGTGCCCAAACCAGACGCTGTTGGCCCTGCACCACAGTTGGCACTTTGGCTAAAGCTCCATTTCTGCTTCAGCTTTTCACACTATTTTGTTGATGATTGATTTTACTGTTGTACTTTTTTAAGAACCCTTTTTCTACCCTCCCCCATCCTCCGGCAATGTCTTACTTTGCCTTTATTCATGCTGGATATGAAAGACAGATTTACAACAGCTCCATTCTCTAAAGTCCTTGAAAAAGTCATTAGAAAACATCATTTTCTTTCATCACAATAATTACGAACTCTTCAAATGTGTGTGAAAAGAAGTGAAAGCACTGATTCTTTGTCGTGTTTGTGGAAGTAGAAAATTATTGTTTATTGTGTATTTCTTAATTATGTTCTGTAAATGGGACAAATTAGTAGATTTTGTAAGGAATATAATTTGTGCCTCTTAGCCAAGGTCTGTCCTCCTGTCATTATAAAACACATTTTCCTTTAATCCCAGGTCACTCAGTTATAGCTACATTTCATAACGTACCTGATTTCAGTTGTCAATGTCCGATACGTGGTTCTCTATCTGCAACAGAAAGAACACAAAACTGCTTTAGAACACATGTCTAGCTCTACATTACAGACCAGAGGATAATGAACAAGCGACTGGATCCAGGATTTTTCTTTAGGAATGACACTGCAGATTTGGGTTTGTCCCCAATTTTAGTTTTTACTTTTCTCCATTAAATGATATTATTGTGGCATCCTGCATTTTAGTCCTTCTTCTGTTTTTACCACGTAACAAGGACATGCTCATGGTTCTACACACCACTTCATTTATGTTTTAATAAAAGACTTCAGCTCTTGCTACTGCCGCATGGGTCTGAAAAGGATTGTCGTCTGCCTTTTTGTAAACTCAGAGCTGAGAATTGAGCTAAAATGAACCATTTTCACATGTCTCAAAAGCGCATGATGAAGGCCAGTCTTTTGAGTTCCGTGAGCAATCTCCATTTTACAAGATATTATCAAAACATACTTCTGCCTGATTCATTAGAAATTATAAAATTGATCCAAAAGTATAAAAAGAAATGAGTCAGCGTACTTTTCTATTCATTCTTTGGTTTTTTCATAATTAGATTCAAACGAATTGTAGGCCACATTTAGACCTCAGCAAAGCGCTGTTATTTTATGAGAAAATGAAACTGGCAAAGAAAAAAACAGTGAATGAGCATATGTTGTGTTCAGAGGATCTAAAGGACGAATGGTTTTAAGTATTTTTCCTTAAATAATAAATACTATGCATTTTATTTCCCAAAAAACAATGATGTGACATTTAATATAATGTTATAGAATGTGGAATAATATCTTAAAGTAGAAAATACTCAAAAATTTCAAAAAAAGTCTGACGTGTGAAAAAGTTTTCAGCCTGTAACTCCCTACGCTACCACCAGAGGGAGCTGCTTTTTTTCCCAAAACGTGAAAATTACTGAAAATACATCATTTCCCTAAGAAAGGACCAAAACGAGTTTATTTCAGACAGCCTTTATTCGTCCTACAGTGGGGAAATTTCAGTGTTGCATCACCAATGGATCTAAAAACAACTCCAGGTGAGTCTTTTGATATGGAACAAATATTGTGTGCACCATGTGTACTTGTATATTGTAAATAGTAACTGTAACTCTATTTTAAATTTAAATTTATTCCTTAGAAGTTGTTTTTATTATCTCTTTCTGACTGTTGCACTGAGTAATACTGCAATAAAAATGATTCTGATTCTGATTACCATTAAACTTTATTACAGACACAAGGTCAAAAAAAGGTTAAAAAAAAATCTCAAAAAATAAAACATTCCATATACGTACGTATTTACAGCAGACGACACAGTTCAGACTCACTGGCACTGACTCTAATGTATACTGTATATATTATAATCACCTTCTGACATTGATTCAGCCGACAAATTATATCTGTAGATCAAGTTTCTAAAGACAGCACGAAAAGTCAGAATCCCAGTTGTCCCGATGTTGTAACAAAGCTAAAAATCCCAAAAAAGCCAAGTTAGCCTAATTTTTCTCGCGATAAATGCCAAGAGAAAACCACTGAAGCAGGTCAACAGCTGCGACTAGTCACTTTTGAATGTTATGTCACCGATAATGAAACCATAATTGAATCTTTAAGTTTCTTCTGGCTCTTTCCGCAGTGAGGCAGCGGTTTGTGGCAGTGTAAAACCTTCTCCCAAAGGTCAGTGCTGATCTATGCTGTACAAGAGGCCCCCGTGAGCCGTACATTATCGCCATCTGTGATCAATGTGACCTTCAAGAAACAAATAAATCCAAGGCTGAGAAAATAATCTGCTGCATTAGCGCCGGGGATGGGCTCGGCGGCGCTCGGCTGCTAAACGGCTAATAAATAAGGCGGTAATAGAGGGAGCATGGTCAAACGCACAGGCCGGCTGCGGGGCGATCGCTGTGGACGCGCTGAAATATGGACGCCATGGACTTGAGTAAAAAAGGCTCGTAAATGATGAATGTACGGAATAGCTGATGAAAAAAATGGAGAATTACATTAGAGGCGTTTAAACTAGGGATGTAAATCGGCGACCGTTTAACCGGTGGTTGACCGTCACAGCGTTAACCGGTCAAAACTGTCGGTTAAAAAAAGAGAAAAAGGGGAGAGGGGAGGTTTCTTAATAACGCTATTTTAAGCCCTATTTGCACGGTGTGACGAGCGGGTCTGTATCTAGCTGTGTGCGCCCATGTATTATAAACTCCGGGACGACTCTCACGCCGCACAAGCCACATATGCACACACGCACGCGCACACACACACACTTTCCCCCTCTCCATACGTAACATCCACACGCATCATCTCTCCCCTCTGTTACCGTCAAAGTTGCACACTGGCGCGGGTCAGAACTACATTGGAGCTTACATTTACACACACACACACATATACATACACACACACATACACACATACATACACACACACATACACACACACATACCGGTCTGTCGCGCTCCTCTGTGTCACGGAGCCCAAAGGATTCGCGCAAATACGCGGCTCCAGTCAAACCACATGGAACATGTTTGTGTTTATGGTCCTCGGGATCAGCTCCACACACATCACTTGTATTTAAACTTTTGTGAAGACCTGTGAGACGCGGCTCGTCACTCGCTGCTCTGACCATGTGAACGAGCCGTCGTTTGCTGCTAGAAAGTTTTGGTATTAACCCGCAGCACAGCAGAATGGGAAGATTAAAAAAGTAGTTCTCTGTGCGCAAAGGTGCCGGAGCTGTTGCGGGTTTGGGCGCCGCTGTCTCAACTCTGATCCAGTAGAACGCAGAGCTGCACTTATGAAAAGTACGTGGCTCGTAATGGCTGTTATTTCAAAGAACGTGGACTATTTTAAACTACGCGGTTAACCGGTTTCAACCGGTTAATGAGGCTCGGTGGTCGGTCATGAAAATTCATAGTTTTTTACATCCCTAGTTTAAACCCATCCATCCATTTTCTACCCTTTAATCCATTTCTGGGTCAGGGGGGTGGCAATCAGAGATGCCACCCAAGTCTCATAGCACCAGCCCCTCACTGACCCTCTGCAGGTGGTGAGTCCACAGGAGGACGGCTGCTCTCTGAGTGTGAGCATAGACTTGATCTTTCAGTGGGGGCTTTGGGCAAAGTGGGGTTAAGTGTCTTGCCCAAGGACACAACGACAGCAGTCATCAGTGGAAGTCGGTGGAGAAGGTGCAGAGGTGGGAATTGAACCCACGACCTTCTGGCCTTAAGGCCAATGCTCTACCAACTGAGCTACTGTTGCCCCGAAACGCCCCGCGTTTAAACCCGATAAATGTTTTGTTTGGGACTAATAAACTGGAATATACAGTATGTTCTCCTGTCATACCTTCTACACTGCAAAAAATGATAAAAATTAAGTAATTGCTTGAATCAAGTGTTTTTTATTTTAATTTGAGCACATTGTGACTGACTTAAAAACAAGATTATCCAATGAAACAAAGCCATTTAGTCTTATTTAAATAATTTTTGCTTTATTTTCTCATTCCAAGGAAGACAATGTATGTATCCTTTTATCTTTTTAAAACAAGATACTTTTGTTTTTGTCCCTTTGGCAAATTGTTTTAAGGCTCAGTCAGAATGTTGCCAAATTAAGACACATGTTGCCAAATTTGAAATATTTTAGACTTTTTAAAATCAGTTTTTGCGGGGTATAGAACATGTACTGACAATGAGTATGTAAGGTAATAAAATGCACTGCCCCCGCGATGACCCAGGCCGGTTGTGTGTGAGATAACAAAAACACACGGCTCGGAACATCTAAGGCAATGGAGGTCGGATAGAGCACCACAATGGCTCACATAGATACAGCAGTCATCTCAAAGACAGTGATCGTCCCCAGAGCACACCTCTGGCCCCCACCCCTGGCGAGTTCAAAGGGGGCCAGTGGGTCTGCATCGCCTCAAACAAAGCCATAGACATCACCCATGGGCCGGCAACGGCATTCCACCACCCCCCCCAGTGGACACGGGACGCCAATACACCTGAGACGGACAACTGAAACCACGGATGAATATGTTGTTTTGCTAACATCTTAAATCAGAAAACGTGTGTACCATTGTCTGTGAACAAGGTGTGTTGTGTGTCTATGTCTAAGTAACGTGTATGTCGTTAAAACTATGATTCCATGAAAGGAGTTCTGGAGGCGCGGAAAGTCGACGTCATTAGACACGCCCCCAGAGCCGGAACAAAAACAGAGACACAATAACTTTCGTGTTAACTTTTGCTTGTGAACCTTTTGGGAGCTCTCTTTGAAACTTTCTCTGTGCCAGTGGGCCGCGTCTTGGAGCGCGGCCCACTCCCCTGCGCGATCCAGGGGCCCACAACTTCAACCCAGGTTAGAGCTCGCTGCCCGATCCTTTTCCCTATCGAGCTGAACTCGACTTGCCTGTCCCGCAGCGGCGCAACTGCGCTCCAACTCCCACCAAAAAGGAGCACCGTGGACCATCGCGCCTCAAGCCACCTCTGGGCTTCCCGGGACCGATCCCCGCTCCCTGCTCCCGTGTGTGGGAAAGACTGGAGTGTGTGCGTGCCCGCTCTCCGTGCGTGAGGAAGACTGAAGTGATTGTCCCGCCTGACCCAAACGGGTGTAAAGCATCTTCACCTCTGGGACTTGGCAGTAACAGTAAGACTTGCTGGAGTTGTATTGTGTGTGATGGTGATGTGTTTCTGACATTCCTGTTCATGTGACTTATCATACTTGTGTGATCCCTCCCGGTTACCGTTCACGTTTCTATATGTAGTTAATAAACCCACGCTAACTTTTAAGAGTCGTCAGTGTATACTTTGTATAATTCATGATATCCCTGGCCGATATAGAGCTCAAGACCTATCAGATTATGAGACTGATCGAGGCAGAATGGATCTGTGCAGACTTTTCGAACTCTGCTGGTGCCCCTCTTACTTAAAATTTAGATCCATTCAACCCGGAGTAGGCGAGGCTTAGGACTACGTTTGCGGCGTTTAATACCGACACAAACTGATACAAAGCCTCCCCTCTCCACATACAATT